TTAACAGAAAGTAAAAGCTATGAGAAATGAATAAAAGTCACTGCAACTTCCTTGAAGAGTGTAAGAACCTGCCTTTAGTGTCAGCCGTGGGTTCCCTCGTGAAGGTCAGCTGAGCCATGACCCATGAAACATGGAAGCTTGACACTAGATTGACCCTCTTGAGACGCCAAAGATGTCCACGTCCTAATCCCCATGTGGGAGACAGAATAATGGTCCCAAAGATGTCCATGTCCTAATTTTCATGTGGTTGACAGAATAATGGTCCCAAAAATGTCCATGTCCTAATCCCATGTGGGAGACAGAATAATGGCCCCAAAGATGTCCACGTCCTAATCCCATATGGGAGACAGAATAATGGCCCCAAAGATGTCCACGTCCTAACCCCACGTGGGAGACAGAAAAATGGCCCCAAAGATGTCCACATCCTAATCCCATGTGGGAAACAGAATAATGGCCCCAAAGATGTCCACGTCCTAATCCCATGTGGGAGACAGAATAATGGCCCCAAAGATGTCCACGTCCTAATCCCATGTGGGAGACAGAATAATGGCCCCAAAGATGTCCATGTCCTAATCCCATATGGGAGACAGAATAATGGCCCCAAAGATGTCCACGTCCTAACCCCACGTGGGAGACAGAAAAATGGCCCCAAAGATGTCCACGTCCTAATCCCATGTGGGAGACAGAATAATGGCCCCAAAGATGTCCACGTCCTAATCCCATGTGGGAGACGGAATATTGGCCCCAAACATGTCCACATCCTAATCCCATGTGGTAGACAGAGTAATGACCCCAAAGATGTCATGTCTATCCATGTGGAACGAATTGCCCAACATGTCATCCTAATCCCATGTGGTAGACAGAGTAATGACCCCAAAGATGTCGACATCCTAATCCCATGTGGGAGACAGAACAATGGTCCCAAAGATGTCCACGTCCTAATCCCACGTGGGAGACAGAATAATGGCCCCAAAGATGTCCACGTCCTAATCCCATGTGGGAGACAGAATAATGGCCCCAAAGATGTCCACGTCCTAATCCCATGTGGGAGACGGAATAATGGCCATGCAGACCTTCCACAGCTGGCCACGACCCCCCATTTGAGCAGGTCAGCAGCTGGTTTGTTTCCCCAGATCACCTCCCTGGGGTCCCCTGCCAGGAATGTCCTGGGAGAGCCACGCTTCTCACTGTGTGACGCTTTCTGTCCTGCAGCTCTTCCCTTCTCTCTGGCCAGCAGCATGTTTCTCCTGGTCACAAGCCTTGTACTGTGTGAGCTGCTGCAGCCAGCATTCCTCCTGATCCCAGAGAAACCGGGTAAGTACGGAAACCTGTGGCTGAACCTTCCCTGCAGCCCTCGTTTAGACGTCTTGCATCTGGAGACCTACGTGGATACCTGGGTGCATTTGCATTTCATCTCTAATGTTTATGAGGGACCCAGTAAGCACCAGCCGACCCACCAGAAGCTGAGAATTCCTCTTGTCCTCACCTCCTTTTCTGCTGTTAATGTCCATCCACCCATTCTACAGATGAGAAAACAGAGGCTCAGAGACCTCCACGGTGTAACCCAAAGACCATCTAGGTAGTGACGGGGCCAAGATGAGGACCCAGGTCTCCTTGGGGCCAAAGTGTTTCTTCCTTCCTTCCTTCGTTCTTTGCTTCCTTCCTTTTTCCTTCCTCCCTTCTTCCCTCCCTTGCTTCCTTCTCTTCCTCCTACCCTCCCTCCTTCCATCCTTCCTTCTCTCCTTCCTTCCATCCTTCTCTCCCTCCTGATTCATTTCTTTTCTCTTTCTTTTTCTTTCTTTTTTCTTTCTCTTTCCTTCCTTCCCTCCTTCCCTCTCTCTGTTTCTTCCTTCCATTGTTTCTTTCTTTCTTTCCTTCCTTCCTTCCTTCCCTCCCTTCTTTCTCTCTTTCTTTCTTTCTTTCTTTCTTTCTTTTTTCTTTCTTTCTTTCTCCTTCTTTCTTTCTCTCCTTTCTTTCTCTCTTTCCTTCTTTCTTTCTTTCTTTCCTTCTTTCTCTCTCTTTCTTTCTTTCCTTCTTTCTTTCTTTCCTTCTTTCTTTCTCCCTCTCTCTCTTTCTTTCTTTATTTCTGTCTTTCTTTCTTTCTGTCTTTCTTCTTTCTTTTTCTTTTTCTTTCTCTTCAGAGTCTCGCTCTTGTTGCCCAGGCTGGAGTGCAGTGGCTCA